TATTTATATATAGATATATATATAATATATATTATGTATTATATATATATTTATCGAGTTATCCTATATATGTGTGTGTGTGTGTGGTGGTGTGTGTGTGCGTGTGTGGGGGTGTGTGTGTGTGTGTGTGGTGTGTGTGTGTGTGTATACTCCACACACACAATTTCTATCATCTGTCTATCTATCTATCTATATATATATATAATTATATATTGTACCTATGTGCATTGTGTTTTTTTTACCGTTATATATGTGATGATATGTTCTATAATTATATATTATATATGCTATATATAAAATCATTATATATATAATATATAGGATATATTATATATTATATATATATATATATCAATACTATATCTATATAAATATTTTATATATATTATCTACATAAAATATATAATATCTCTAAATATCTCTCAATCTCTATAACTCTTAAATCTATAAATCTATTCTCTCTATACTACACTCTCACTCACATCACTATCACACACACTAACTCACATAACACTCCCACACAAAAACAAAACAACACTTAACCACACATCCCCCCCCCCCCCCCCCCCCCCCCCCCCCCCCCCCCCCCCCCCCCCCCCCCCCCCCCCCCCCCCCCCCCCCCCCCCCCCCCCCCCCCCCCCCCCACCCCCCCCCCCCCCCCCTTGTTTATATTATGTACATCCTATATATATATATTTATATATACATATACATATATATATATATATATATATATATATATATATATATATATATATATATATATATATATATATATATGTATATATATATATAATATATATACATACATATATATATATATATATATATATATATATATATATATATATATATATATATATATGTATGTATGTATATATATGGTTCTGAAATTTCAGGAAACTTATTTGAATTGGCGAGGAATGAGCGTCAAGGTGACAAATCGTTCGGGACTGGACTGTTCTACATGAACGTTTTTCACGTTTAGGGTAAATGGAAATGGTCGGGGAACAGTATGATTACTCTTGGTAGCGGACAATAGTCTAATCGTTAGTGAAAAAATGTTTTGTTCCAATCTGAACGGATTCTTTTTGAACATATCATTAATTGATACTCGAGATCAAAGTGTTTCTTCGTACAGTTACGGCGGCATGACGTACCATATGCTTTATTGTTAAGTGACCTTTTTGAAATTGACAAAAAGTAACTAATTCTGTAACTCATAATACCTATACATTTCATGCATAACTAACCTTCCCAACTCGCACTTTCAAATACTCCTCTCTCCTGAATCCAGTGTCCTTACTACAGAACTATACACACTCCTTTTTGCCTTAAAACACATACACTCGCTCTCTTCTTCCTCTCACTATTTTTACTGACTCATTATCTTTCATAAAGTCTATGCACTCGACCAATCCCCTTGTCCGAAAGATTCAGAACTGGGTGTTCTACCTGTACAAGTGCCACAAATCTATCATATTTTCCTGGGTGTCCAGCCATGTTAGAATCCTCGGCAATGAAGCGGCAGATACTCTAGCACGCTCCACACCACACCAACCTCGTTTCTCACGCATTCCAGGCACAGATTATTACCCCATTTTAAGATTTTTTATACCCGATGGCAATCTTTTTGGTCAAGTCTTCGCATTAATAAATTACATACTGTAAAACCTTTATCTCCTCTTGGACAGCTCCGTTTCATCGGGACATGTTGGGAGAGGGCTCTCGCTCGCTTTCATATTGGCCACACCCATCTAACACACTTATCAGATCTGCCCCTAAGTTCCCTAGGGTAATGTTCCTCTTTCATTTCCACACTTTCTGTTGTCCTGGTTACGCTTTCCCCCACCTATCCTCCCTTCACCGATCTCTCAACCTGTCAGACATCCTTACGGAATCCCACACTTTCTGCTTTGAGAACCTGTTCTCCTCCCTCAGACACATACATATCCTTCACTTGATCTAATCCTCCTTACCTAATCCTACCTTAACTTCACCCATCAACTCATTACCCATCTTTAACCTTTCCAATATTACTCTAGATTGTTGACACATAGCAGCTAACTACTAAGTCAATCGCCCTTCACTAACCTTTACAATACCTTCCTATAGTGCTACATGATCTTAGATTGTTTTTGACTATTAACCATTCATGTGTAACTGATTCTCCTTGGCAGCAAGTTGAGATTCTGTTGGCTGGTCTTCCCCGAAGAACGCGGCAAGGGATGACAGTACCTTCGGGGAAATCTCTTCTGCGTGCTGACGGACGTAACTCAGCACATACCGGTCAGCTCCTGTTAGCACATACCTTCGGCCCCACACGTCCAGAATTGAACCTATGTTAAGAAGTATATGAGGTAGATACTTTTTAAAAGGGGTAGTGGTTAGGTTGCAAATACACATAGGTGTCAAATTAGAGAATATAAATTAATGTCATTATCCCCAAAATCGAACATATATCTGTACTTGATCATTGGTAACATATATAAGATTATGCATACAAACACTGACCAATATAGAGATCATTCAGTGTATAGACGTCTTCGCCTGCATAGCGTCCAGCGCCTCGTTCGTCTCCTTTCGGCTGTGGCTTTGGCACGTGAGATCGAGACAGAACACGGCCTCCCAAACCTCCTGGTCGAGCCTGAAGTGAAGTGAATGGCATAAAATTCGGAATGAATTACACTATGCTATCAAACAACCAATCAACAGGGGGTTGCACTATCGCATCCATCCTTTGCTTTCATGTATGGGGACCCTTTTTGGTGAGCCTTCAGGCATATCACAACTTTCTTGGGGCAAGCTTGATTGCTTTGCTCAAGACATAACTTTTAAGGATGTCCTACGGGCCTTAAACTACCAGACAACTAAATATATGTGACACACTTCCGTTGTTTCTAGTATCTGCTGCCTCCCAACCTCCACTCTTCCTATATGATGCTCCCATCCAATGCCGACCTTCAGGCAAATTCCTAGAGATGATTTTTGACCCCAAACTGCCCTTTCTCTTAAAGAAAAAGCCTACCTTAGACTTCGACTCTTACAGACCCTCTCTCATATATCATCGGGTTCAGACTGCAAAGCACTCGTCCATCTCCATATTACCCTAATCCTCTTCACCCTTGATTGTGGCTGTCATATATATTCTTCCGTCACTACATCCCTTTTCACTATCCACCAATACGGTCTCCATACAGTGATTCACTTGCTTTTTTGATTCCAAGAAGCTATGCTCGTTTTCATCAATTTCCTCACCCTAAGCTAACTGTCCCTCATTCCCTTCGTCATCATTTCTCCTCCTCTACACGTCTAACCTTTTCCCTGTTCGTATGGACGCTCTAGTTTCTCATTCATCCATTCCTCATCTCAAACTTTCCCTCCCTGGCTAATACCTTCTTCCTGTAACTGCTCCTCTATGTTCCCTGACCCATCCGCATCAAACATCCCACCTTCTATCTTCCCCTCACATTTTCTTGCACATATCTCTAGTCACTCCCCCAATACTCATGTCTATACAGACGGCTCCAAATCCATCTCGGATATTGGTTTCGCTGTAGACTTTCCTTCTCACACATGCAACTTCCCCTTCCTCCTGTATCGAGCGGTCTTACAACAAAACTTTATGCTATCCTCTTCGCTTTACGATGCATGTCTTCCATCCTCTCCTCATCCTTAACTATCTTCACTGGCTCACACAACTCGGTATCACTCATACAATCCATACACCCTATCAACCCTATAGTCCATAAATACGGGCTCAATTGTTTTATCTGTCTATACGATAGAAAACAGTTAAATATTGTTGGATACCTAACCATGTCGGAACCCCGGCAATGAAAAAACAGATGCCTTTGCACAATCAGCCGCCTTGTCAACCCAGCATCCCCGCTTTTCACACATCCCAGCCACCGACTACTACCCTCACTTCAAAAGTTTCCTCTGTAACCGTTTGCTATAAAGGTCTGACCACTAATAAACTACAAACCATAAAACCTTGCATCTCTCCTTGGTCGACACCATACCACCAGAACAGATGCTTGGAACTGTCCTTTCCCGTTTGCGAATAGGTCACACCCGCCTCTCACATTCATGCCTCATATCATGCTCCATCCCACCTCTATGCTCCCCATGCAATGTTCCTCTCTCAGTCCCACATATCCTGCTATCCTGCCCTCGCTTTACTGAAGCCTGTAACCTCTCTCGCCCGACCCCTCAACCTGTCTGACATCCTCACGGAATCCCCTGCCGTTTCAATTGACTTCTTCTTTTTCTCTCCATTTGATCTAGTCACGTTTTATCCTAAACCCTTCCCCTTTCTATTAATCCTTATCCTACCCCATTCACTTCCTCTCTTCCCACCCACACTATCTTATAATACCATAATCGTTAGAATTTAAGGCATTTTGTTCTAATAAAGAACTCTTTTAAACCACTTCCACCATAATACTTAACCATAATGCTATACAATATTTGACGTCTAGCACATTTATTTGTTTTAAAACATTAAACATTCGTATCTCCTGCAAAGTAAAACCACATACAGTTCCCAACATTTCATTAAAGAATACCAGATTTTTTCGTAATGAAATAGATTGTGGATATTATTATTTCTCCATACTTCTAGTTCCAGACGTCATCAAGCTGTACCTGTTATTATTTATGAAAAGGTGGCACTATACTCACCCCATACTAAATTGGATTCATATACCTGAAACATCTCTGGAGGCAATGAATGCTCCCATTTAAACGCACAGGTGTTTAGCGTCAAGAGATTATATGTCAAGAGCCAGCTGACCACAAAGAGATAAAGAGGGATTTAGAAAATAACCAGCCCTCATAGTCAAACACGCTGTTTGGACAGAAAACAAAAAAATATAACAGATAGAGCAGTTTCTTTAGCACACCAAATTTCCTGACTTTTCTCTGATGTTTAAAAATGAATTGCTGCAATAAGATTCCTCTGATTTGAAAGATAGCTGGGAACTGCCTCAGTCTGCTCAGTGGAGACGCCTCGGGGCAGTTACTGAAGTTGGCCAAAATAAACGACGGGAAAAATGACTGCCAAGGAGGAAATGGTCAGTCTCCACGGATACACTGCTTACGCCACTGATGTAATTGGTGCCTGGAACCAGCAGACCTGTTTCTGTGAGATCCTAAATTCCCCGAGAAGGAGCCTCTCCTGCATTCTAGAAGTCTCTTGGAGAAAGTACCTCCTAGATAATTTTGTTTATTTTATTTTTAACGCTTGATATTTCTTCTTACACAGAGAATACCAAACACGATAATCATTTTGTGATAACCATTGCATTATATTATCTATGAAGAGGTATTATGAATATCAGTACTGTAAATATCGAGTCGCTAATAAATGTACGAATTATTTGATTATTAAATATTGCAAATATCATATCTTTTCCATAATCTATCAAATCCATATTATGTTTTCAGACAATCATAGAACGAAAGCTAATGCACAAACCAGTTCTTTAATTTCTACAGTAGCATCCGCAACGTGGTAAATCATGATGAAGTTTCGATCTCCGTCTTTATTGTCCGGCGTATCCAGCTGAGCCGAAAAGCGCAGGACCTGAGGAGTAGCAGGAAAACTAAGATGAAGTGCTGTATGTTTCGGCAAGGAATTTACCGTCATTTAGACATTCATAAGTCGGTCGCATATAATAGGAAAAAAATTTCGATGATGATGATGATGACTATCATTATTATTGTTGTTGTTGTTATTATTATTATCATTTTCATTACCATTTTCATTATTATTATCATTATAATGATAATAATAATTATCATTATCATTATCCTTATCATATTATTATTAGTAGTAGTAGCAGTCTCACATTATCTTTATTATTAGCATAATTCGTATCCCTAATCTTAATATTCATATTATCATGATCATGTGTGCGTGTGCGTGCGTGTGCGTGTGCGTGTGCGTGTGCGTGCGCGTGTGCGTGTGCGTGTGTGTGTGTGTGTGTGTGTGTGTGTGTGTGTGTGTGTGCGCATCTGTTGGTTAACAATATTAATAAAACAAAGAAAAGAAAAAAAACACAGTTGCTGTCACTTCCACAATCCCATTTTACTTAAGCAACTACGATATCAGTTGAGATTGACAACATTTTCGGAATGTCCTTTCAGCCTAAATGACGACAGTTTCTGAAAAAAACCGACCGTGGCGTCACGCGGGTCCAGGATGCCCCTGCGAACCAGAGGCCGGGGCACGATGTCCGACTGCGTCCTGCCGCTGGACCCGCGCTCGTCGGCCTGCGTGCCAAGGGGCAGAATTAGGTTTCATGGAAAGGGAGACTAGAGGTGATCTGTTGCCCGTGATAAGATTTTATTAAATTCATAGAATTTGATGTTGTCTGCTAATATACATTTTAAAAATATGCATAAATCAGTCATAAATATATCACACTCCTGCTCAATTCCGTGATATGGTTACATGATACAGGGCTAGGCAACAGATGATGATTGGCGTTTCTGTTTTACAGAAGTTCTGCCCTGACCCTACCTTGGTGATTTCAATCTGCTTCATACTGGGCGCGTTTTCCACTCCGTAGTATTCCAGCAGGAACCGTCTCGTCTGGTCGTCGCACCCCGTCACCATCACTCTGAAATGCAAGCAGATATGGGTGCAATGTATATCATTAGGGAATCGCAACAAGGATGAGATTGCTATTCTTGGTTACCATGAAAAGTCTACCTATTCAGAAACAAGTTTTGGGATGTGGATTGGAACTTAACTGACCGCCTTCCAAATATAGTGACAGAAGTTGGTGGCACCAGATCTCGCGGCGTTAACCACACCTCCATCTGTTCCTCTTCCCCGATGTCTACAAATCCAGCTGCAAGATGATGGAAGTTTAGTGATTCTGACATTTTGCTCACGGAAAGTAATCGCACAACTTATTTTCAGTGCAGCAACAGTTGGTTTCAAAGTACAGCCAATCAAATCGTCTTGCTACGTTTGCTTCCTTGTCTTGGCATCACCAGGCGTGGAAGTTGTTGCTCCTTAAAGACCTGTGTTTTCATCTGTTTTAATGAACTATTATCTATTGTTTGCACAATAAGCATATTTCACCAGTAGGTGAAAATTACCCTTTATCCCATTGGTGCCGGGTATGAAGTGTACGTACGTGCTATGCCCACCGTGAGTACTTGTTTGATTGTTTTTACGCATAGATGGCAACACTTGTACTAAATCACCAATGAGCCAACTACGAGCACCGCCTGTCTCGCCCGTTTACTCGTTTCTTTGATTTACGAAATATTTTATGTTATCTTATTTTGCTGTTACTAATGTTAAAAAACATTATAAAAATTATAATGTTTATGATAAAAATAACACCATCGAGTTTCATAGCACTAGTGAAAAATACGTTTTTCCCGCCATTTCAAATCAGGTGCTAGCAGAGCCATCTATCGGCAGACACATCACGTAAAACATAGAAAGTGAGCATAACATTTTCCCCATTTTTTGTTCATTTTCCCCGGTACCAATGGGTTAAACTTACAGAAAGCAGAAAATGAAACTGCAGTGGCCAAACTGGGATAAATTTATTGATACCTTGCATCGCCTTTTAATTACTGCAGTCTGCTCTTTTAGGGCACAAACACGCACATGCTTACCCTTCCTCGTGTCATACTTAGGCACTCTGACGGCTCTGAGGATGACGGGGCTGAACTTCTTGATCTCAGTGTGGTCGAGATACGACGGGCGGCGCAGCTCCACCGTCTGGTCCTCCGGTCGGTACAGCAGCACGGCGGGGCTGGCAGCGGGGCGCCCTCCCTCGGACTCCTCGACCATGGCATCGAACCTTCGGAGTAGAGAACTTCGTGTCGGCAAGCCAGAAAACCGAGAAATGTGAGTACGAAGTACGAAGTGGATGAAGGCAGTGCGAGCGCCCTGGACAGCACTCACTTGAGAACGAGGCCCCTCAACCCCGAGGGCGCCAGAGGGGCCGAATGAGGGCGCAGGTCGGACCAGCGGGAAGGGGATTCTGCCCGCGACTTCCTCAGGACGTCGTACGGATCAACGGGGATTGGGAGGGGCTTCTCCAACTCTGTTCCCTCGCTCAGCAGGAAGTCCTGTCAAAGAAGATTCTGATAACAATAGCTTCTCAAAGAGATTATAAATGTAGATATATTCCTATAATACTACATTTCTTGGAAGCAAGTATTGCTCGTAATGGAAAGTAAAGTATTAAGAAGGAGGAAGGGGCCTCCCGTGATACCTTAGTAAAGGCATCGCAGTCGCAGATGATGTAGTGGCGGCCGTAGAGACACAGGTCCATGCCCAGATTGAGGTGAGTCCAGTGCCAGAGCCCGCCGTCGGGGTGCGGCACGCGCTGTCGGCTCAGCTGCCGCCCTTGGTCTAGGCCGGAGTTCTGGCCGAGGGAATTACTTCACTTTAATTTTCACTTTAATTATTTTCACACACACACACACACACAGATAAATATTTAGAATATATATATATATATATATATATATATATATATATATATATATATATACAGAGATAAATATTTAGAATACCTTCGTACTATATATATATAAATTTTTGCCCTCAACCTAAGCCGTGGACAACAAAGAATCCACCACGTATGTGCGGCAGAGGAGAGCGGCTCGACCTCGGGCGCTCATGACGCCAAGGCTCTTTGTCATCCAGGGCGGGGGTAGTGGTACAGCCCCCTGCATTAGGCAATACGCTGAATTATTCTGAGTAAATTCCTTTGATAGGGACGTATTTCGTGAATACTCCGCAATTTCCCTTGTCCCTTTCATAGCCTTCCTTG